TGACAGCATGACTGCACTCTCACGAGAGACCTTGAGCCTGCCATGTCTTGCTAGGCCATCTCCAGATTTCAGACCACAGGAACTCTGTGATGGTAAATGCTTGTTGTGTTTAGCTACCAAGTCATGCCAGGTCATAACTAATATGTATATGTAATATTGAATTATAGTGTCTTTTGGTAGAGTTCCAGCAGCAAATAGAGTACACTCAACTGGGATTTTGAAGAGAACTGTGGGCAATGTTGGGAAAATGAATAAGGTATGAAGAGGTAGTCAGGCCTTACAACATTGGGAAGCCTTTATCACTCCTGGGCTTGAAGGAGAAAGGAAAGAAAATGATGTTACGAGAGGCCAAAGAGGGGGAGCCAAGCAGGGAGCTGTCTTACAAAAGTATTGTACAGTGACAAAACACTGCCAGAATTGGGTGCAGGCAGGAGGGGCAGAGAAGAAACACTTTGACCTCTTTTTCCCCACCATCCTCAGATCTTCCCATGACTTTCATTGGTCAAACCCAACTGGAAACCAGATGACAGTTCCTAGAGGTCAGCTCCCAAGGACAGAGAACAAAGCAGGGAAGGTAGAGAATGAATCTGCTGGGGCAGAAAGAGAAAAACCAGCATCGTCCTATGTTCTTGTGCAACTCTTCTTATGTTTACCATCTTTCTATATCATTAAAGAGTCTTCCACATCATGATTTTAAATTGCAACATGGGTAATATAATCAAGTTATCTCAGTCGCACACCAATGACCATTTTTTGGTTGTATACAAATTCTCCTTTTGCTGTGATAAACAGTGAAATGAATATCATTAAAGTCGTATTTCTATGGACTTTAAAAATAGTTCATTAGAGCACACTGTAAGCACTAGAATAGTTAAGGATAAAGGACATTTTTTAGGGTTTTAAAACATCTTGTCATATTGCTCACCAGAAAAGTTGACCCTCCCTCTAGAAAAAAAATCTTTGCCTATTTGATAAGTTAAAAGGAAATAGTTAGAATCATTCTCAAAAATAATATAATATTTCTTCTTGATTCTGGATTGTATTACCCTCCAGGTTACCAGAAAATGGCATCAACACAGTTTCTCCTTACAAAGTTAAAAATAAGCATTACATTGGAGAGGAAAAGAGTTTTTCTTAATTTTAGATCAAGAAAATATTATCTCAAAATTAAAACCAACAGTCTGGGTTAAACTTTTTTTTTTTAGGGGAAGAGTTGTATCTAAAACTTCCAAGGTCATTAGTTACTGGAAATAAGATCTGTTTGGTCTTAGAAAGGTATAGTAGTATGCATCACAAAGTGCTTATACATCTTAATGTATCAATCTCTCATTCATAACATTCAGAATCTATAACATCAATAGGAAAATACTGAACAAATTAAATAGTATTTTCTGCATGCTGGGCACTGGGCTAAGTGCCTTCCATGCATATATCATTCATCATCACTATCCTGTGAGATAAATACGATTATATTGTAATCAACTTTATTAAGCTTTTAACATATTGGAAAATGCATCCATTTGTGCACCCAACCTACCTCCACCACTGCAAAATACTCTTTTTTGTCCCTTTGTAGTCAACCCTTGCCCCCACCACAGCCTCTGGTAACCATCAATATGCTTTGTCACTATAATTGTCTTTTCTAGAATTTGATATAAGTGGAATCACAAAGTATGTAGTTTTTAAATCTGGCTTTTTAAATTTAGCATAAGGCTTTGAGATTGATCCATGTTGTTGTATGTGCCGGTAATTCATTTCTTTTTATTACTGAGTAATATTCCATTGTGTGGATATCCCACAAAATGTTGACCCATTCGCCAGTTGATGAACATTTGGGTTGTTTCCAGTTTTTGCCTATTATGGATAAAGCTGCTTGAAAAAGTAAAAGTAAAAGTCTTTGTATGAACACATATTTTTTATTTCTCTTGGATAAATATCTAAGAGGTGCATTGGAAAGCTGGGGCAGGGGTGATTTTGGGAGAATTTAATAATAGGGGGAATTTTCTTTTAAAATAGTAAAAACACATATAAAAAATAAGAGGGTCTTTGGTTTCCATAGTGGCTGTACCGTATTACATTCCCAACAGCAATGCATGAGAGTTCCAGTTGCTCTTGATCCTGGCCAGCAACACTTGGTCTCTTTGGTCTTTTTAATTGTAACCATTCTAGTGAGTATGTAGTTGTGACTCATTGTGTTTTTTACTTGCATTTCTCTGATTGGGTAGCCAGTTTCCAAGAGGGCACCCAGTGATCTTCATCTCCTGGTAGTCATGCCTTTGTATAGTCCCATCCCATGAAACTAGGAATGACCTGTGTAACAAATAGGCTATTGCAGAAATGACAGCTGAGTGACTTCTGAGGCCAGCTCATGAAAGACATTGTCGTGTCTGTCTTCTTCTCTCTTAAGTCATTCAGGCTGGGGAAAACCAGCGGCCATTTCACGAGGACACTCAAGCAACTCTACGGAGAGGTCTACCAACAGTTAGTGCCGATTTCCCAGTAGTGGAGTGAGCCTTTTTGTAAGCGGGTCCTCCAGTCCCAATCGAGTCTTTGGCTATAACCTTACCCAGCGCCTTGACTGCAACCTCACGAAAGAGACTCTGAGACGAAACCACTCGGCTAAATTCCTGCCCCACAGAAAGTGTGTGAGGTAATCAAAGTGTATTGCTGTTCTAAGTTTTGGGGTGGTTTGCTACTCAGCAACAGAGAAGCCATACTGATTCTGGTACTTGGAAATAAGGCACCGCTGTAATAAACATCTAAACTGCAGGAATGGCTTTGCATCAGGTAGCTGGTGTAAGGTGGGAGGACTTTTGAGCGGAGTTTTAGCGAAGGCCCATCGATAGAAGCTGGGTGGCCTTTGAGGAGGCCACCGGCGAGGGCTTATGGGAAGAATGGTGGGCAGAATTCTCCGGGGGCTCTCAAGGTTCCCGACCCTAAGGTGCATGTTGTACATAATCGTTTCCCTGGAGTGTGAGTAGAACCCCTCAGTACGACATGACTGCCGTGATTATGTTTCGCTATATGGCAAGAGGGACTTTGCAGATGTAATTACGGTCCCTAATCATCCGACTGTGAACTGTTCAAGAGAGAGGCTCTCCCGGCGGGGCCTGCCCGAGTCACAGGAGCGCTTCATAGAGACACGGCAGCGCCAGGAGTCCTCCTGCCGGCTTGGAGGAGGTGAGGCGGCGTGTGGGGGGCTCAGTGGCAAGAAGGGGGGATCGGTGTTCTGCAGGCAGCACAGGGAAGGGTGCTCTTGGTGGAGGAAACAACGTGGGTCAAACGAGGAGGCCTGAAAGTGGATAACCTGTGCGTGGTCCAGCCAGTGGGGAGAGCGACGGACGACACCGGCCCAGAGGTGAGCACCCGCTAAGGGGCTGGACTGTCTCCCACGGGCAGCAAAGGGGTCACTTCAAACAGGGAAGCGACGTCGCCTCACCTTTAGAGCGCCTGTCCCAGGAGCCAGGGGCTGAGTTAACGTGTCCGCAGAGCTGCCTCCGCCCGTGCTGGCACCAAGGACGCCACTGTTGTTACCCCCGCCTCACGAGGGCGGAAGCTCGGCCTCAGCGAGGCCACGCCCGGGCCTGGTGGTGGGAGCTCGGCCCGGAGCCCTGAAGGTGCTCCGCTCGTCACCCGGGGCACCCATCGGAGAACAGAGATCCCAGCGGCGGCAGGGGAGGGCCTGGAGGGGCAGGCGCGGCGCCTGCCAGGGCGGCACGGCTTCTGAGGGAGACGGTGAAGACGCGCAGGAGGACC